GGGGATAATGAATGACAACATAATGTCACCCAACTCACTTTAAATCTCTTTATATCATGTTTTTACAATCTTCTAACATTATACACTTTTCACTGTAGTACTTTTCCTGTCTTTACCTTTTTTTGCATTGACAGGCTTAAGATTGTATTTTCCCCAGTAAAGCTGCTTTAAGAGGAACCCTTAACCCTTCCTTACCTAAGGCAGAGAAACACATTGTGAGAGGCTCCTTTTAGCCACTGAGTGGTTAATTTATATAGCTGAGTGCATTGCTCTATACTAAGTACTCTATCACTGAATGCTTATAATGAAAATATACAAAAGATAAGAGAGTGGGATAATCCACAGTAAAGTGGAATCACCCAACATAGATCTAAATTGGTAAATAGTCAACAAGGGTCTCTTTGAAAAGAAAAGGGATGGTGCTAATCTCTAATTATGCTCCTTAGATCTTATCATTAAATTACACTCATTACAAGCTTCCAGGACAACATTCAGCTAAAGGGCTTCTAATTCTACAACTTGAAACATGCAGTATTTATCAAAATATTGCTTTTCTTTCTCCCCCCCCCTTATTCTCTCTCCCCCTACACCTCCCTCACCTTACAACTCAGTTTACCTGCAATGTTTTAAAGTGATAAAAAGCTGGGAAAAATAAAGTCTTTGAACCCGTGTCAAGACCATTGAATAAACAATCAGATTTGGTACACAACCCCATAAAGTAGTAAAATGGGCATTTATTTGCTAAATTGTGAATAGGTGAACATTGACAAGGGAAACATCAACATAGATTAGCTTGAAAAAAAAAATCACAATTATTTCTTTCCCCGCTCAACTAGTTTAGCATTTGCAATGTCTTTCATAAATTCAATTTGCCCATTATTGAGTAAAGAAATGACTTGCAAATATTAGGTAAATAAAAAATTAAAATTGGAAAACAATCTACAAATCTGGAGTTGGTAATTACACAATATTTTTTTGTAATGCATTTTGCAAGTTACCTGCCAGTAAAACACAACACACTGTTTAAAGGGAAGCTCTATATTTATGGGAAATTCTGTTAACAAAGTGCATATTCTTAATGCAAATAATTATTGCAAAAAAAAAGAAAAAAAAAAAGAAAATGCTTTTATTCAAATGTGCACAAATATTTCCTAAGCTCTAAAACAGGCCTGCACAATCTGCGGCCCCCCTGATTTTTTGCACTACAAATCCCATGATTCCCTGGCTATCTGTTTAATTTAAAAACATTGTCGTTGGCTATCTGTTTCATTAAATGAATCATGGGCATTGGCTATCTGTTTTATTAAATGAATGATGAGCGTTGGCTATCTGTTTCATTCAAAGGATCATGCGAGTAGTTCAAAAACATCTGGGGGCCGCAGGTTGTCCAGGCCTGCTCTAAAAGTTACCTCTCTTAGCTGCAGGGGTGGTCTTCGGAAGACCCACCCTCTTTTTGCTCCGCACTTATTTCCTTCTTTAAAGCTTCTCATAGACATGGTTGGTTTATGGACATTTATACATTTGTATATATAAAAAAAAAATAAAAAAATTTAGGGTCTGTGTTAGTAACAGTGCTATTTTAAGTAATAATTTTTGAAAACTTTATGCTGAAATAGCCACGCTGTGACTACAACTGTGTAGGACATTTTTCAAAATCATCTATTTTTAACTTAATCTTGCTATTCTATTTCACTATAATTTGGGTTTGAATAAATCTTCCTGTTGTCGGGAAAATGTTGTAACATTCTTTTGAAATACTGATTTAATATAAAAAAAAATAAAAAATGTGGAAATGTAATATCTCAATTTTAACCTATTTATATTCCATTCTTAGGCCTTTACAGCATCCAGCATCCTCCGCACACACATCAGACAACACTCTGGTGAGAAGCCTTTCAAGTGCAAACATTGTGGCAAGGCTTTTGCATCACATGCAGCTCACGACAGCCACGTGCGACGCACACACAACAAGGACAAGCTCTCCACATGCACAGTGTGTGGCAAAACGTTTCTAGAACCCGACCAGTTCCGATATCACATGCAAATTCACTCTGGACTCTAGAACATTGGTCTTGATGGAAGCCTTCATGTCTCACTTTGACTATGTCAACATAACATTTGACTGTGCCAATATTATTCTGGTTCTTCTTTTGTCCTGCAAAGAAATTATTATTTATGAAATATAATGTCAATAACTATATAATCGGATATTTGAAATAATATATGTGGTCTAAAGACTTTTATTTCATTTTTAGAGGTTAGGTTTCAAAAAATGAAACCTGTGACTGTATCTAAGTAAATTATTCTATATCGGTCTGGTTATGGAACGTGTCCAGACTGCTCTTTTGAATGAGAAAAATAAATAAACCTGATTGCACTGTATTTGTTTTCATGTACATGGATGTTTATACTTTTTGAGAAATAAAGTGTAACTAAATATACTGTCTAACTAATGGTAACATTTTCTACTTTCCAAATATTTAAACTGGTAAGCTCCTATTGATGGGTATAATGTCCCATTTTATACTCCAGTGATTCTTGAATGTTATAAGGTTATCATATCACATACATTCAAGCTTTTATAAAGATATGTAATTGTGTATTGGTAAAAAAAAATGTTAAAAGTGTAATTGCACGGGGTACACACCGAGAAGGGGCATGCTCATAGACCTGCCAGATTGTGGGAGTACTGAAGTAAGAGGCACAACAGTCACAGTTTGACAACCAATGTACCCCCATCCTCTCTGCGCAGTGAGACGGGCCATCATGTTTTGTGTGAGCAGTGTGATAGAGGTTGAACGACCAATACATGGTGTTATGGTGTGTTCCTGACCTCTCAATATATGCAGTACCATGAAATGGGCCAAAATCCAATCCCTTAAAAATAAAACTAAACATCATAGTAAAGCAAAATATAAGTACAAAGTGAAAAAAAATCCCTAACAATGGAACACTCACATTGGGTAGAGCTAATAAGTTAGCTCAAATAGTTTGCTCCTCTTAGGTCGTTCTGTTGGCCACTCCCCTCTATTATGATGTATAAAGATCTCTGACTGGTCTTCACTTCATATATCCACTCTCATAATAAGTATAATACCATACTCAATATAAAACTTCCAGGGATACCAGAGGCATCAAAACAACTTTAGCTTAATGAAGCAGTTTTTGTGTATAGATCATACCCCTGCAGTCTCACTACTCAATTCTCTGTCAGTTGGGAGTTAATAACTTTTTTTCTGTTTAGGCAGTCCTAGCCAAACCTTCCCTGGCTGTGACTGACAGAGCTTGCATGAAAAAAGGTTTAATTTCAATCAGATGTTAGGTTGCTTTAGAAAGTTTTATCTCCTGTTCTGCAAATTGAACTTTAATCACACACAGGTGGCTTTTGCAGGGTATAGAAGGCTATTAACAGGGCAGGAGATGGAAATTCTAGATTAAACAGACTGTGCAATACAGGGATCTAGAATATCTAGCTTTTTCATGAAGTGTTTAGGAAGGCCATGCAAGTCACATGCAGGGAGGTTTGACTAGGGCTAAATTAACAAAATGATTTAACTCCTAAATGGTAAAGAATTGAGCAGTGAGACTGGAGAGGCATGATCTATACATCAAAACTGCATTATTAAGTTACAGTTTGTGTGGTGCCTATAGTGTTCCTTTAACATAGACCATAGGTACACTCACGTTAGTTGGAGACCATTTATACAGGGCCGGCGCCACCATAAGGCTGCACAGGCGGCCTTCTTAGGGTGCTCTGGCCCGGGGGGGGGGTATCCAGATGACCGGCAGGAGAGACGTGCATAGCACTCTTCTCCTGACGGTCATTTACTGTAGAGTGGATCCACAGCCTGGGGTCCAGCGGGATGCTGCAGTGCTCCTCTGAGTAAGCTCTGATCCAGATCTGCATTTCCTGTATAGCTCCCTCGCCTGCCCTGTAGAGGTTCTGTACAGGAAATGTGGATCTGTACCCATACTGTTCTTATCCCCCCAGTACTCCACAATGCTGTCCCCTATCCCCCTCCCACCATAGCCCCTGTCCCTTCCCCCACAATAGCGCCAGTCCCCCATAATGCTGCCCTGTCCCTCAAAACTGTTCCGATGCCCCCACCATAGCCCCAGCCCCCACAATGCTGCTCTACCTCCAACAATACCACTCCATACTGTTCCTAACCCCCCAACATAACCCCAGACACCCACAATACTGCCCCTGCCCCATCACTAAAGCACCAAACCCCACAATACTGTTCCAATCCCCCCACCATAGCTCCAGATCCCACAATACTGTTCCTATCTCCCCCCCCCACCATAGACTCAATACCCCACAATACTGTTCCTATCCCCTTACTAATGCCCCTGTCCCACATAATAGGGATCGAGCGATTAGTGGTTTTGCCAATATTATCGTCCGATATTCTGATTTTTTGTAAGTATCGGTATTGGCCGATAATCACCGGCAATACTGATAATGAATGAGTGGGCCGTGCCTCCATAAGGCAGCACAAGCGGAAAATGAACACTGGGGTAGGGGGGGACCACTAACAGAGAAGGGAGAGGAACAGGGGAATGGGGGGAGGCACTAAGAGACAGGTAAGGGGGGGCACAAAGAGACAGGTAAGGGGTGGGGAGGAGGGGAGTTCCTACCGCACATATTTACACACAAACACACTGCATCCACTACAGAAACACACACACTGAATCCACTACCCACACTGCATCCACTGCACAAACACACACACACACTGCATCCACTACAAATATACATACACTAAATCCACTACCCACACTGCATCCACTACACAAACACACACACACACACACACTGCATCCACTA